CGACTTAATATCACCCCATGAATTGGACATGGTACGAAAATGGTATGTTGACTAAAACTACGGACAAAATTTAATATACCGTGAGTAATGCAACAATGTAACAACGGTTATTACCCAGGATTCAGTAACAGTGCAAAGAAAATAACAATTCCTGACAGGGAGGAAGAGGTCAACGCTGAACCTGACCCTCCCTGGTCCTTAACATGAACCGAATCCCGAAGATGAAGATCAATTATTTTCTGCGTGATCCTAATCCTTCTTTAGACTTTACGTAATAGTGGCCATATTAATATATCTGATTATTGATTTCGGTGGAGTTATGGATATGGTATTGGAATTTTTATTTTTTTATTTGGCATAACATAAGTTTATCCATCCAGCAAAGTTTTCATAATCAAACTTCTTTAGTATGTAGTTGAGCTACATATGTGTCACATGTATTAACCTCAGGGGACAATATTGTGTCTATTTTGTTAAAATACCATCTTTACCACGTTAGTATGTTTTAGTTTTAGAATATTCACTAACAGCTACACGATAACAGTCCCTAATTTTGAACTGATAGACTAGAAGGAAGGCAGCTAGTGATCAACACCTACTGCCATCTCTTGGGCTACTTTTATCTGACACCTAATAATATAATTTTACTGTCCCTTTCATAGCGCACCTAGGGCCTTAAAGTTTTTACAGAAGCGGTATGCAAACCAACAATATCCGGATTCACAGTATGAGGATAAAGTAGTATGATTTTATACACTTACTGAACATTAAACGGTAATTTAATGTAATTCACATTATTATTAATCGGATATTACTTGGTCTTTATGTGTTAGTTGTTTAAACACAAAGCTATTGAAACTCGATTGTTAGCGTGGTGAGCCATCAGACTTCTAGCCAAGCCAGCGGGGGTGGATTTTATTTCAATGTAAGGAAAATTTTCAGCCTTATTTTAACTGCCTGATAAATACTATGGTTAAAAAGAAATGATACACATTGTATAGTTCTAATTGTAAAATATACGTAATGTATAATCCATTAAAACGCCTTCTCGACCTCATTTGAGAAGTTGATTTTGGAAAATCGATTAATTCTAAAATTTGCAATTTTATCCATAAAAATGGATATTATAATTCTTATCTGAGTTACCCCATTAACAACAGACGTATTTAGTCGCAACATCTCTGAAAGATGTGAAGAATTGCTGCATTGAGTTATCTTAATTCTAGCCTACAGGTGTCAGTTAAGCATCGATAAGGTTCGTTACAAACCTGTTAGACTAGCCTCTGATAGTTAAGTAGGGTTTTTTTTTGAAGCGTCTACTACAGCTTCAGTTGTATTCCAACTTATAAATATTAGTTTCACTGATATATATATACGTTGCACTATTATGCAACGCAATATTAAATCATGAGCAAAAAATGCAAAACAAAACTGAGCAACTGATTTTAAAATTTGGAAACAATAGCCAGTTTAATTCACACAGTTGCAACTATATACTCTTGAAAAATCATCCAAAACGTCGAGTGTAGTTAATATATGATTTAAATGTTGAATTTCAATAATGAGTGATTATACTGTTTACCAGTGTGTTCAATATTGATAAACCTAAACACACTGTTAGTACTGATGAGTTTTAACAATGAGTGATTATTCTGTTTACCAGTGTGTTCAATATTGATAAACCTAAACACACTGTTAGTACTGATGAGTTTTAACAATGAGTGATTATACTGTTTACCAGTGTGTTCAATATTGATAAACCTAAACACACTGTTAGTACTGGTGAGTTTTAACAATCAGTGATTATACTGTTT